TTTTTAAAGCGCAAATAATGCCAAGCGTAGCGTCTCCAAATGCAAATACATATACCAAACCCACTTACTATATACATCACATATGTATGTAGTATATGGCTTGTCATTTGGAAAGCCGCAGAGCGATTGCCTCGGGTTTCAACAGTGTCAAAATAAAAAGAACTGAACATAAAACTGAGTTAAGATGGTGGGGATGCAAGGCTGTCCATTCGCAAAACGACGAATAAGATGCCTTCACAATACTATGTTATTTTATGGCAAAAATCTCGTGAAAGACATTTAGACAGTTGAACAAAAATCTCCAAGAAATTCCATACTAATAAACTAAATACACAAATAGTGAATTAAAAGTATATAAATATAAGAAGGTTTTCTTCTCTTATAAGTAAAAAACAATGTGTTGTTATACAACAGATTATCATTATCAATGTTATATCCAATAAAGTTAACAATCTTATCTAAATCCCCGCCTGTTCAATCTGCGCAAACCAAAAGCCGCAACTATTCTTGTTTATTGACATGTTTAGATATCGATCATTGCTTTGACAGCTATATGATATGGCAGCAGATATTTAATACGTTTATACTAATAAAAACTAGAATGTAACTTTTTTTTAATTTGTTCTTAGTAATAATTGTGAACTTAAAAAAAAAAAACTTTAGCTACATAAGATGATCTCTGCCATTCTTAAGCTTATGATTCAGTTCTAGTTTTTTTCCGCCACAAACAGGAAAACAAAAGCCATTGGCTGAAAAATTAAATGGCTCCTATAAAGATTGCAATCAAACAAAACAATTATAATAAAAGATTCGCCACCTTCTGAGGCAATTAAGGCAATGAGCTCGAATGATTTAAGATTCAGTTTCTTCGAGTTAATTAACATGCCTGCGGCGTTTTTTGGAGTGTACAGAAATGGAAAGTCAGCTGCAACAAACTTGGCGATACACAAAGAACCAGAATGCCCCCAAAAGAAAGACAAGAAGGGCGATGATACACCAGATGAGTCAGAACCAATCTGGAAATCCAAAAAAAAAAAACAGGAATATCAAAGGGCAGCTTTTCCTGCTAATGAAGTGTTTATGCTGGGACCTACTTTACTTAAGGAACAAGGAACCTCTTAATGAGTCAGAATCAAGGTAAGGAAGGCTCTCCATAAAAACTGGGAATCCTCTGTGATGAATCAAGATGCAATGGAACTGGCTCTACAAATCCGAGGCAGACTTTTCCAGCTAATAAAATGATTATGCTGGCTCTACTTATTATAATTATGGAACGGCTTATTAATGGAGCTCCGATTCGGATGGAGAATCGCGACGGGTTGGTGGGCTCTGCGTGATGATCTCATCGATTGCATCAGATTTCGCACGGCATGTCGTTTTATGTGGTCCGCAATTTTTGTTCTCATTTCAGCTCCCCCCTTTTTTTTTTTTTGGTGTGTTTTAATGTGCAAAAGACATATGCAGAATATTCAAAATTAGCTGTTAGCACGCCAACAGCCAGCGGCTATCAACTTCAATGCGAGCCAGCGCTTTTAAGGCGAGCCAACGAAAAAAAAAAAAAACGAAAAAAATAAATGTTTCATGGTCAATGCCATGAAATTGGTTGCATTGGACGCTTGACTGACAAACGTTGACAGGCCAGATATAAAGTCGGATATATGTATATACAATATAAGACCCCCAGACACATAACTCCCGCACAGGTATCCTCGAAAAATTGGGAGAAAAAAAAAGTACAAAAATCGCTGCGTGTGCAGCAAATTGATTGATCTACAACAAAGCTGTTGCCGACTGTGGCGAATCAATCAATTGACAAAAATTGAGAGACACACCGAAAGCTACAGATACAAGCCCTCTTAATTTGCCACATTTCTTTACGCCTCGTTTGACATCTCCATTTGAAAAACAGAACAAAAAAACAGATTCTTCGGCGTTGTCTGGCGACAGCTTTTGTGCGATCCAGATACAAGCCATAAATAATAAGATTTACATATGAATTTGTAACTGTTCAACATCTATTTGTATCTGAATACATCACGCTCTCACTAATGATCGCCTAAATCCAGTTTAAGCACTCCGCTTTTCGCCCAGTAATGAGGCTTCCCCACTTCAGCATTGACCTCTTGTTAAGCCTGAGCAGTGAATTTTAAATTTGAATTTGTTATTGCAGCAAGTGTTTTTATTTCGCTTTTTTCCCTTTTGCATTTCAAGTGGCTCGAAAGACGTCAGCCGAAATGAGTACGAAATCAGGGAATTTACAAACGCAAAATTCGGAAATATCTAAGAAAGTATGGAAGTACTTTTTGCTTTAGTCATCTTGTAGAATGTTAAGTAGATTTGACAAAAAGTTGCCTTATTCTTGGGGTTGTTTGAATAAAGGAATATTTTCTTAGATAAGTTGGTCAGGCGGTTCATTAAATCATTTAAGCTAAGAATTTAGTTTATACAAAGTTATGTTTAGAGATTTTTAGTTTACGCTAACTATCTCTTAAAAGTAAATATTTATCTCTTCAACAATTTAAAACCTATAAAAAATATGAATTGGTCAAACAGTCTTATCGTTTATAGCTGGTAAGTAGAATTTTTGAACTTTTTTTAGAACGTTTTTGGATAAGCAACAAGACGAACCTCCCAATATGTTGTATAACCTTAAGGCTTTCAAATTCCATTCTGCATTTACTAGGCAAACACAAAAACATCGTTGCTGTGCACCGGCTAAAAAAAACAGCGATTAGGGCTTGCCAAACGATATCTTATCAATGAAATTTCAGCGCGTTACGTAGGCCAGGGCCATAATTCGATTCGATTAGTCAGAGCCAAGAATAAAATCAGACGGAGGAAAACAAAAGGCCCGATCGACACGGAAATAATCCAAGGCAAAGGTGATGGAGTCACGGAAATCGTAATATAGAACTCAGGTGAAAAGCGATTACGACAGAGGAGGTCCCGAGAAGACCGCGATGACAGCGATATTTATTTGGCCGAACGCCGATGATGTGTATATACTATACGCGCGGATCGAGTATATATATTTTATTGAACAATGCACAAACAAACAAATGAAGACTTTAAGGCAAAAGGCCAAAATGTTTATATGTTCCACCGCCTCGACGGCAACGCAACACATTTGGGGTCGATTAATAGAAACACAGGAAGTTTGGCCAATACTGGGGGGCTATTAAATTGGTTTTTTCGGGTGGCTATATCGGAGGTAAATTCTGGATAGTATTTACTTACTTTCTCTGCAAACTCCTCTCGCGGACGACGCGAAATCGTTGGTGTGGCACTCATGAGTTCCTTGGTCGGCGATGGTGTCATTATAGTAAGTAATTATCTCCCCCTTCGTCGGTTATCGTTTATGAATTGCACTTGCTGCTTTTAGCTTTTTAGTTACAATAACTCACTTGGGTCCCCTCTTCGTATTGCTTTCGGTTACACTTTATTTTTTATATATTTCTATATATTTTTTTACTTTTGATTGGACTTGCGTGCTGCGGAGTAAATTGAATTTATAATGACATTTTATCAGCCGTCGAATTTGTTGGCATTTCTGCTGTGGTCTATAAACAAATTATTACGTAGCCGTTGAAAAAATGTCGCTGGCGTGAAACTGTTTTTGCCACTTCACTTGCTTTTGTTTTGGCCTTTTTATTAATTGCCGGTAGAGGCGGTGATATTTACACAGTCTATATCGGTTTGGGGTCAACTTACTGCACTTCAAGAACAGTGCAACTTGAAAAAACTAAGCTACTAGTGGGAATAATCAATAGGTTACTTCACATTTTGCTTAACAAATTCAACTTTTATACATTTTTCCATATTTGCTGCCAACCGGATGGCTGTATTACGATATACTTTAATTGAAATTTATTAGATATTTATGATAAGCAAAATCAACAGACTTCATAAGAAAAAAATAAAGGTGCTGCGTGGGTGTATTGAAACTGATATTTGCTGTGTTGGTAATCCATTCCCAATTAAAGTTACAATTTGAAAACGCTAATGAGCCTGGAAGTTGGGATCATATGCAAAGAATGTTGTCATTTGACTATTTTTAGAAGTCAACGTCACTAAAGAACACAAAAAAAGGTGAACCGGAACGCTACCAAAAGAATGTGGTTGTTGTTGTTGCCGAACGTTGATTGACCCCGAATATGAGTAAGAAGAAGAACAGGAAAGCCGGCCGGCCAATTAATTGGGTTTTTTGTTTTAGCTATTTGTTTGTTGGTTTTTCTGGCATGCTTTTTATCTTCGCTTTTTCTTTGAAATATTTCTCCCTTTTCCAATTCGACCTTGCAATTCTAATTGGAATTCAATTTCAGTAAGAGGAAGAATGAAGAAGCAACAGTTTGTTGAAGGAGTCGCACGCACACACAAGGCCCGCGCACACACAAACAAACGCACATGTACATATACAGCTTTAAGCGCGGCTCACACGCACACCGGTTAAACTTGTTATCGGCCGCATGCAAGAACCCAAAACTAAAAAAAACTCTAGGCCAAAAACAAGTTCTGGAATAGCAGCAGCAACAACAACAACAACAACAGCAACGCCGCACTCAAGTGTTTCATTTTGAAACACGCCTTTTTGTTACTATTTAGTGGTAGGTAATTCAAAAGGGAGCAAAATGCACACACTAGCACTCACACACTCACTGGCTGGCGCGCAAATTAAAAACAAACGAAAGTAAATCAACGTAAAAAACGAAACGAACGCGATCCGCCGACACGCTATTAGCTTTTGGCTTCAGCTTTGCCTTCCAATCAAAACACACTGCGAAATACGAATGTTGCGGCTGTTGGCCAGTGTGAACGCCGGTGCCCAAGTGAGAAATACCGAAATATACCAGCACGATTTACCATTCATAAGCTGCAAAAATACCACAAGCTTAAACATTCACAACCGACAAGTTAATACCCTAGAAATTTCATTTATTTAAAAAAAAAAGAAATTCCTTGAAATTTAAAGTTTCCCATCATTTTAATTTTGACTGTAATTTTTTGAGAATTTATCTTGGGTAAAATTTATTTTCTTATTATTATTAATAATAAAATGAACGCTTGGCGTGCATTGGGATTCGTTTATTGCAATTGACACCAGTGCATAAGAGGTCAACTAACTCCCGGCATTCGGCTGCTCAATGGCTTTTATTTGGCCCTGCAGCTCCTGGATGTGCTGCTCGAACTTCTGGATGTCGCCGGTGATTTGCTGCAAGCTGGTCAGAACATTCTTCAGCTTCTCCCCGTCGATTTGGACCTCTAGCTCCCGGATCTGTTTCGTGACATTGCCCGTCAGCGAGACGCACTCGACCAGCTCACTGCAATTGGCGTGCAGTTGGGCCAACAGCTTGTAGGCCCTCTTGGCATGGAGATCATGCTTGGCGCTCTGGAAGAGTAGATCATCCGTGTAGTTAAACTGTCGCTGCAGCTGAGCTCCCACCACGTTGAGTTGCTTCTGCAGTTGTCGCGTGTCGTCCAGAACCTTGTAGATATCCTCTCGTTGCTTGCGAATGTTCCCAATGAATTCGTGTATCCGGCGAGTGTATTCCTTGCGTGGAGCCAAGTTCTGACTGGCGTTCCGCAGCGTGGCATTCAGTTCGTTGTGCTGTTGTGTCTTGGCCTGCAGCTCCTGCTCCAATTGCTCGATACTGTTTCGGATTCCCTGGACCTCCTGGGCCTCCTTGGCGGTTTTAAGTGTCTCTAGGTTTTCCAGCAGCGGTTTCCTGTAATCCTGCCACTGCTGGGTGAGCGTTTGCCTTTTGTTTTGGGTGGCTTTCAGTAGGGCCTCCAGCTTAGCCAGGTTCTCCTCAGAATCTGCCAGCACCAAGGAAGTACGCTCGTTTATTTTAAGCATTGGTTGAATGCGAACTATCTCCTCGTTAGCCTTGGCTTCCCGAAGCTTAAGAGTTGCCACAGAAGCAGCATACTTTTTCCGTTCCGCTAGCAAGGTTTCGCATTGTATACGCAATTCCTGAACCTGATTGCTTAACTCCTGGAGCGGAGAAACCTCTTCATCGGCCGCCGCACCGGAAGAAGGTTTTACTGTGGGAATCAAAGGCACTGCTGGTTCTTCGCTGCTTAAAAATGGAAGCACTGAATCCGGCGTGACATGACCCCATCTATCCATCTCGTTCTTGTGGAGCACCGAGGCTATGAGATCCACCGAACTGGAGGCCGTTTGCTGGAAGAGATTGGGCGCCTGCTCGTCGAAATACTGCTGCTGCTCCTTGCTGCGCTCCTCGGGATTGGCGGATGGAATGCTGAGATTGACGTTCGGCCGGAACTCGATGCCCAGACTGCTGCAGCCGTGGGATTTGCGATTGCCCACGGATCGGGCAAACTGGGGAACCCAGGGCGTCTTGAGTTGCTGGGTCAGCTCCTTCCGGATCTGCCGCTGCAGGAGTTGCCGGTGGCTGAGAGATTGCGACTTGCCAACTCCCTCATCCGTTGCTTGACGCTCCCGTGGAAGTTGTTCGATAAGAAACATCAACAATCTCCGGAGTTCCACAGCATTCGGATACAGAAAAGTCTGGTAGCCGATGTCGCCACGGTAGCCACTATCCTTGCATCCTTCCGCCAGGGAACTGGCCACGCCAAAGCGCTGCGCCATCGCTCCGCCGGGAAGAGTCCGGGGAAGCTGCAAATCCGGACGGATCTCAGCCAGACATCCAGAGACGGCCCGCACCACCTGTTCCGGAGTGAATTCGGCCAGCTCGTCCGTCGGCTCGATTGCGGCGTCCACCTGGTGCAGCTGGTGCATGATTATCTTGTCCACCTCGTCCATGATTCGCTTTATTTACTATTTATTTTTGCATTTTACGAGAGTTCTTTTTTGTGACCTGTTTGTGGCAGTCACCGCGATACGTCAACAAGAATTTCAATGTGGCAACTCTTTATATTTGGATAGCGCGATGTGGCAACATCTTTTGCATTTTGAAATTAAATTTATTTGTAACGTATTTACCCATTTTCAAATCTAGTCCAAACCTTTAATATGCAATTGTTCCACATAGCGAAATACCTTATTTAAGATTTTTATTTAGAATTTCATTATTTCATGTCTATATGTATACGAACATAAGCACTTACTCGAAAATTATGCAACTTGCCAGAAGTGTATTTTATTATTCATGTTAATTACAATTTGGTTCTTCCCCTTAAAAATAGCCCTTGACACTTGAGGTCTTAACGTCATTACTTTGCAGCCAACCCTTTGGCAGTGATTAAGTGAAAATTCGCAGATATTATTTTATAGCTGACTGGGCGGAAAATCCTCTTTGCGGACACGCAACCACAAAGTCTAATTGAATTTGGCAAGCGCGAGGAAAAGCGATATAAACGCGGCATCGCGGAGGTGGGAAACAGTTCAGCCCTGTGGCGCACACAGAGCGAAACGGGTAGCGGTTAAGGGTTAAGTATCGGTTAAGTATCGGGTCGAACCGGTATGGAGCCGCTGTGCAACGCCAGCGAACCGCCGCTCCGACCGGAGGCGCGGATGTCGGGCAACGGGGATCTGCAGTTTCTCGGCTGGAACGTGCCACCGGATCAGATCCAATACATTCCGGAGCACTGGCTGACCCAGCTGGAACCGCCCGCCTCCATGCACTACATGCTGGGCGTCTTCTACATCTTTCTCTTCTGCGCCTCGACGATGGGCAACGGCATGGTCATCTGGATATTCAGCACCTCCAAGTCGCTGAGGACGCCGTCGAATATGTTCGTCCTGAACCTGGCCGTTTTCGATCTGATTATGTGCCTCAAGGCGCCGATCTTCATCTACAATAGCTTCCATCGGGGATTCGCCTTGGGGAACACCTGGTGCCAGATCTTCGCCTCCATCGGTTCGTATTCGGGAATTGGCGCTGGAATGACGAACGCGGCCATCGGATACGATCGCTACAATGTGATCACCAAGCCAATGAACCGGAACATGACCTTCACCAAGGCGGTCATCATGAACGTGGTCATCTGGCTGTACTGCACTCCGTGGGTCGTCCTGCCGCTGACCCAGTTCTGGGATCGCTTTGTGCCAGGTGAGAGTCAGTAGTGATCCTAAATTTAAAACTTTTATGACGTAGGATAAACTGGGAAATTATTTTTGTACGGAATAACTTTCAGATAAAAAACATACATATAAATTTTTATTCTCTTCTTTGTTATTCAGAAAATTCGACTCCATTTCCATTTTGTGGAATTTTCGATAGGGGTTGTATCATAAAAATGTAAATAAATCTTCAAAAATAAAAAGGAATTACCTAATGATCCAGTTTGTTAGAGAATTTATACAGAAACTTTTAACTTCAAAATCTGATAAAATTTAGAAAATGTATGGCCTTAGAATTTTCTATCAACTGTTAATCTCTTTAAACACAAACAATTTGTTATTTTCACTTAATATGGTATCATACGATCATTGATTGTTTTTAATGAATAATGATATATGTAAGATCTAAGATTTAATGAATAATGATATAAGATCTCAAGTAAATTTGGGAAATTACTTTTTTGAATTTTTTTAATATCTTCACTTGAACTTGAGTTACATTTTAGCAATTGTTGATATCTAAATACTTCGTTTCCCACTGGGTTCCATCGTGAAGCAAGGGACTTCTAATTACAGGCGAGAAAAAAGTCCACAAGCCGCGTTTTCCCATTAAAGTCTTGAAGTTTTTCCGAGGGCCCTGATTGTATTTCAGATCCGAGGTGGCCGTATAGAATGTGGTGTTGAGATATATAGTCCGTATTTGATAACCCAACATAATCAAGGGAAAGATGAAGGAATATACGTTGAGCACCAATATTAAATTTATACAATTGAATTGAAAGCCGAATTCATAAATTTTTTGCAAGTATGTGAAGTCAAGTCGCACAAGATAGAAAAGAAAATAATTTTTTCGCATGTCTTCATTGATTATAAAGAGGATTAAATGCGTTGCCAAGGACAAAAATGTTCCAATCATCATATAGACTAAAAACCAGAAGAAGTACCTATTTAAGAAATATTGGAGCATTACAACATTTTTATTAATTTTTTCTGATTATTAAGATATTTGTTACCTGTAATTATTGTGCCCAATGCAAGTGGCTGTGAAGATGCAGTGGTGATCCCGCCTTAAAATGCAGCTCTTACACAATTTGCAATGCCAGGATCTAGGCTAATTAAAAAAATATACTGATATATTTATATAGAACTAAATAATTGCTGTTTGGGAATTACCGGCCTTAGCACTTGACAATAATCACAATGATGCCACAAGTGTTCCTCTTCGGGAGTCGGAACTTGTCGATCAATTGGCAGATTTTCCACCGAAGAATCCGTTCTGTAGCAAGCCAACATATTTCCCAGCAGATTAAAGACAATGAATATAGTCACCAGCCAGGCGATTTTGTACAGCAGGCCTTCAGTGCCGACAATTAGGGGCACCACGTAAAACATTTCCACCGATGTGAAGAACACAGTGCCAGCCAAAATTAAGCCAACGGCGCAGGGATGCACTACCAATGCGAACTGCTTTGGGTACATCTGGGCCACATATTTGCACCCAGTCACTATGAAGCACATGATTAGATCGAATTTAAGATAAATATTACGTTTTTCTTGTGTTCAACTTTAAAAATCTAACAGACAACACAGAAAGAAAAGACAATGTGAACTTACTATGCAGCGATTCGAAAAATGGTATCTAACATGATATCACTGGGAGGTAAAAATATTATTGCATGAATTATGAATTGTATATCCAATATTACAAAATTAAAGTTTTGATTTCGCATAATTCCTTCCTAAAACCAATAATAGTCAAGATGAAAAAATACCCCGGAGTTACGCAAAAAAAATTGTTAATTTCTACGCTATTGGAAAGCATTTTATTATCTGTTTACCACAGTATAGTATACTTTATATTGAGAATTCCCAGTTTTTGGTGACTTGATTTGACATAGCCCACTTGGGGCATAAAATATATTTTCTCAATTGCATCTATGTGGCGTACACATATGGAGTACATTGACGGCTATCAAATTGGGAAGAAAGTCGACACTAAGCTTAACTAGAGATCCTGATCCTGTGCGCTCAAATGTGGCTCTGGCCGACGTCCTGCGCCCTCCTGATGACCACGTTCAGGGCGAGATTGCCGTCCTCGGAGAAGAGCTCCACGGTGGTCTTGTTGAGCACCAGAAAGTCGGCGTTGGTGAACGAGACGAAGCTCTCGCGGATCGATCTCGGCTTGGACTGCCATCGCAGGACGCGATTGTTGGCCTCCAGCGAGATGTTGTACACGAACTCGGCGGCATCCCGCATCGTTCCAATCATCCGGCAGGCGGTGAAGTACTGCTGGCAGCCCTCGCCCAGGTTGATCTTCTCCAGCGAGAGCAGGAAGTGCCTTCCATGGCACGATTGCACCATTGTCCAGTCCAAAGCACCCTCCAGATTCACATTGGTGGCCAAAAAGATGATGTCGTTGCCCTCCATCGTGATGACATTCTCGTGCGAGCTGATCAAATGCTGGTAGACATCCTTCAAGGGACCCTGCCAGATGCACTTGTCATCCGGATACGGACAGAAGTACGGACGCCAGTCGCAATCCTCCTCGTGGATCTGCTTGTCAGCATAAGAAAGCCTAGCTCGACAGCCAAATGCCGAGTGCATGCAGGGGAAGACCAGCTTGGAGGCCACCTTCTCCATGGCCAGACTCCGGATGTTGGTCAACGAGACCCGGCAGACGGGACAGAGGGTCACCTTCCTCCGGCAGCTGGAGCAGAGCAGGTGACCCAAGGCGCACTGCATAATTGGCGGCATCATGTAGCCAAAGCACACTGGACACTCGAGCAGCGAGACCAGGAAATCATCCATGGCTCCGATCCGCGTTCCCTCAGTCGGTCGGGGACTCTCCAAACCCGGTTGAGTCATCTGGGGATCCTCCTCCCGCAAGGGCACCACTTCGCCAGCTGGAGTTGTGTCCGGTGATTTCTGCTTGGTTGCCACCACCACTGGTGTGGGGTCCACCTGCTCCTGCTCCTCCTCCGGTATTATGGCCATGGATGGAGCCGATTGGCGACGGGTGAGCATCTCGGAGGTCCTTGGGCTGCTGCGCACTCGATCAGGACGGGGATTCGGAACTCGGCGGGAGCTCACAAAAGACATCTAAACTGCTTGCTATCGAGGCTATCGAGGACCCAAATCCAAATCTCAATACCTAACAACCAAAAGAACAAGACAGAGGGTTTCCGATACGAATTTTTTGATTACTACTTCCTGAAGACTGAAATTTCGTTCTGGTTTAAAAGCTATAGAAAAACTGATCTGAAACTGAAAAAAATATGGAGTCTGTGAGCCGCACAGTAACTGCGTCGTCGGGGCCTACTCACTAAAAAAGATAAATATATTTAAGATATTTTGAACTTAAAGCAACTGCCTGCTAAAAAAAATATGGTTTTAATATAACTAACTTAAATAAAACTATAACATCAGAAAGCTAATTAAATGCTACTTTTCAAGTGATATTTTAACTTAAAATAAAGAGAAATGATTTCTTTAGCTTTCAGTTTCCTTTACTTACAAATTTAGCTTCCCATATTGATTTAAATAATTACAAACACTCTTTCTTTACTTTTACTAATCACGTTTATTTCACTTCTGTAGTTTTGTGTCTGTGAGAGTGATCTCGTATGGTAATGGCGCGGTAAATCGGCGCATTAAAAGCTAATTACGGTGCAGATGCTTAAAATCATTATTTTTCTTCCATTTGTCGATTGGGAAACTTTGGCCGAAAGAAATCAGAACCAAAAACTTGAGTCGGAACCGGGGAGATCGTCTAAAAACTAGGCGGAAATTTAAACATTAACATTGCTTTTCTTTTTAATTTTCTTGATGGGAGGGGAAATCTTTTTTGGGGGGAGGGGCAGCAACTGTCTTTTTAGCATTGCGAAAAAATATGTTTCGTTTTTGTTTAGTTAATTGTTATTTTTTTTGTGATTGTTTGGCATGAACGAAATTGCGGTGAGCATTTTCGCTTTAGCTGCAACTATCAAACAACTCTCGAGTTATTCATGGTTATCGCTATCAAATGTTATGTTCTTTGTTGTTTCGCCCTTGCTGCTATTGTTATTGTTATTAGGTTTGTTAATTTCGTTTAACTGTTTGTTTACTTATTACCATTTACAAGTATTGTATAAAATAATTTACATTAACTAAACTAGACTTTGCAGTACATGTTCGAGTGTGATGAGTGACCTTTCTCGACCTCCGCGCTGTTCTTGTTGTTGTTGTGAAAGGAGGGTCGGGTGTTCGTTCCCAGTGTTCACTGTAGTACACGAAGTGGGTGGTGGGCACGTGGGCACGCGCAGGCAGCTCTGCTCCAGGTGTGTGTGGCCCTTACGAACTAAATTAAACTAAAGCAGAACCCCACGAGCTTACAAAACGGGTAACACTGAAACGTTCAAATATATATATATGTATAGTGTGTGTGTGTGTATGTGTGTGTGCGGTAACTGAAAAATCATGTCCTACAACTAGAGTACCAATCGAACCGTTTAGACATACAAATTTACAGGCCTGCTCTGAATTTCGCATTCGAAAAGAGTTACCATTTATAGGAAAACAAATTGAATCTTTTTGGCTTTAACTAAAAGTCAATATCTAATTAATCTAGCCGGATTTCAATATCTTACTCTTGATTCAAATAAAACAAGTAAACCAAAAAACATAGTTACAAACTCTTACCACGATTTAAAAAGACTTAAACGGATCTCAAATTAAATATCCTGCCAAATGCGAAACTCAAAACAGACCCGATACTTCCATAGATATATATACATATGCATGTAAGTGGCTCTTAGAATAGAGAATCATTTTTATAAAACAACTCTGCAAAACTCTTTCTCTCTCGATTTATCCTCAATCTCTGGCAATCTTCTCACAATCTGTCCAAGAGTTAAACGCCCGATGCAAACAGAGGGCTATAAACTATATATGTAAATATGTATATATATGTATCGGAAAAGTAAACACAAAAAATTGAAAGAACTCGACGAATTGACAGTGCGTTTTTAGACCAGGGATATGGTCACGTTGATGCCCAGATTGCCATTATCGGCGAACAGTTGCGCAATCGACGTGTCGAACACCAGGCAGTCCGAGTTGTGGATCGCCGAGGCGACGCCCTCGTGAATGGATCGCGGCATGGCCTCCCAGGTGAGCCGGCGCCGATTCCCGTTCAGCTCGAGCCGGTAGACAAAGTTCTCCGCCTCCTTGCGCGATCCAATTAGCTGAACGATGGCAAAGAACTGCTGATGGCCGTCGTACTTCTCCTGCTTCTCCAGCACGAGCATGAAATGATGGCCGAAACAGGACTGCATCATTACCCAGTCGACGGCGCCGGGCAGGTTGATGTCGGTGGCCAGGAACACGATGTCCTCGCCCTGCAGCGTCGTGATGCTCTTGTGCGACATCATCAGATGCTGCATGACTAGGTCCAGCGGGCCCTGCCACTTGCAGCTGGCGCCCGGACAGGGACACAGGTAGGGCCGGCACTCGCACGTCTCCTCGTGCTCCGTCTTCTCCGTGTAGACCAGCGAGGCATTGCATCCGTATCCGGAGTGCTTGCACGGGAACTTCACGTTCGAGGCGACCTTCTCCATCGCCAGATTGCGTATGTTCGCCAGCGGGCCGCGGCAGGTGGGGCAGCAGGTGAGCTTGGAGCGACAGGAGACGCACACCAGGTGCCCGCTGGAGCACTGAAGGATCGGCGGCAGCACATAGTCAAAGCACACGGGACATTCGAACAGCGAGGTCAGATCGGCGGACATGCCCGCATCACCGCCGCCGGCGGACGACAGCGAGGAGCTGGACGACGAGGATGTGTTGGCCGAGGACGTGTTGCCGGCGCTGGATGATCCGGTCGAGCTGCTCGTGTTGGTGGCCACTCCGGTGGCCCCGGCTCCACCTGCTGCTGTTGCTGCTGCTGCTGTCGGTTCGCGGCGCTTCGGGTTGATTTTATTGGACATTGGAAGGGTTCTCGCGGCGGCACGAATGTGTCTACAATTCTTCTGGGTCCCTGCAATCCTCGCCAGGTTCAGCTTCTTCCGCCTTCCGTGGGGCGTTCCGGCAATGGCTTCCTTGTGCGTTTGGCTGCAAAAACAAAAAAAGAAATCGGTGAAGAAACTCGGTGAGTAACACAGCACATTTAGTCATAGCTTCATGTGCTTTTTTTTTTTTTTTTTTTTTAATTTGGTAAGGTCAGTGATAAGAAACGCTAAGAAAAGTTTTACTCCGGGGAATATACATTTGGGATCCCAAAAAATCCAATAACTATTTAATGATTATCAATATCTGTATGTGTTTATATGTGACTAATAAACCTGATATAAAACCTGATATCGATAATAGTTACACTAAAGAAAACAGAATGTTTGGATGATACCTAAACACTCTTATCCAAAAATATTCTATCATTCAGTTGATTTTAAAAAGTAAACATAAATAGAAACACAATATATGTTTATTTTATTTAAAATTGAATACTGTGAAAGACCTTTTCCTGTGTATACTGCCCACTCGAAAAGGTTTTTTTTATTGTATGGGTATAGAAAAGCCACTCCGATTAATCATGCCCTGACCTTCACCTTGCCGCGGCGGAGTCACAATTGTTGTCATTACCGAAAAAAGAAAACACACGCATTTTCGTGTATGGGAATTGCATTTAAGCAATTATTAAACGCGGAACGTATCGAACCAGAGTTGGAGTCCGAAAAGCAAAGCCGTAGCCCGAGGTCGCCGTCACGTCTCCGGGCGAAATGAAGGCCCGATTCCGATTCCGAGTCCAAGCCCAAAAGCCTCTTGGCGGCACGTGTGGAACGACGCAAATATGTTGGCTCTTATCGGGCGGAGCTGACGGAGCCGTCAGTGATGGACGGCCATTAGGGACGACGACCCATTGCGGGATTGTGGAATTGTGGGATTGTGGGTGTCGTGCTGGTTGTAACGGGTGTGGTTCCCTGGATTTGTCCACAATGGACAGAATGGGCACATATGAGTGGTGGGATTGGCTGCGGGTGCCGTGGACAAGTTGAACGTTTATACGTTTAGCAATACCAGATATTCAGTTGATGTAATAAAGAAAAAAATTCAAAGTTTTAGTTATGGCTTTGAATAATTCAAATGGCTTTGCACTTTCTCACCCCAGACTTTTATGAATTTTAAATTTCCTTTATTCGTAGAAAGTTATATTAACTTTTGAACCTTTTAATTTCCCCTTTAAGGAAGTAAATTATACATTATCTGAAAACCTAAACTGAGTTTACACTTTCCTAAAAAATTATTTTTATTTATAAATTTTCTAGTTTATTAATTTTTTAAAACATTGATGATATCTCATTTCCTCCTCACACCCGCATAAACACACTATCGTAAACGTAGGACACGCAATAAAAAGCGCGTAACGTAACCAATGCAACGGAGAATCGGTGGAGGGAGGTGGGTTTGCTGATGGGTGGCAAGGGGGAGGGTATCAGCACAGACACAAACACACAATCATACAAACATCGCACACACATAATTAACAGTTCGTTTACGCTGCGTACCGTTGGAAACATTTATACGAGGTAAAAATGGTAATTGCCACAAAAGTCATAGCCATGAATATAATTAACTTTGTTTCTGCTTTCGATGAGTTGCAAAACGTAAAATAGAAAACGTAAGTTGCGGAGCAGAGCGAAATGTTACTATTTTTTTAAGCCGCCATTAAGTGCGGCTGCAATATAAACAACTGCAAAATACATAATCGCCGATATGTAAACTTACATGGCAGGCTGCCTCCAAGAAATTGTGCTGTGGTGTTGGTGCCCCGCTGCGTTGGTGTGTGTGTATGTTGGGTTTTTGTTTAAATGTTTTTTTTTTGTTTTGCTGTTTTATCAGTCAGCCTTTACGGCCATGCACACACAAGCACGCATACAGTCAGTATGTGTGTGTATATATCCTCGGTGCAAGTTCCGTTTTATTTTTTGTTGTTGCTGTTTTTTACTATAAATCAATGCAGGTGGTTTTTCTACTGCACACGCACACTGGGAAAATGGAAAAACTGTTTTGATTGCTTTTCGCCTTTTCGTTCACCTTGCGACCAAACTCGAAAATCAGGCGTGAGCTAATTTTATTTGGCTTTTTATCTAATTTTCTTTAACGCGACCCGCACACACATTCACATTCAGCTTTTGTTGTTATTTTTGCCTTTCCTACTGCTACTGCTTCGGTGTTGTTTTTGTGGTTGTTGTTGCACGAAAATATATCATTTGCATTTACACACAACAGCGAAATGAGTTTTTTTTGTGAGTGTCTCACTTTTTTCTATATTGCGTTCTTTAGTCGCCAAACTAGGCGATTATTGCACTTGCACTTGCGCGGTGTGGAATTCAGTCTTTTTCGGCATTATCCATGTACGTTGGGTGTGATGGCTGCATTTGATGGTTTAATTAATTAATTTACTAAGTTCCTAATCTCCGCGTCGGTTGCAGGCATGTTACCAGTGTGACCGTATGTGACCTGGGCCAGTATACCAGTCAAGATTGCAAAAAATACCATGGTTTTAAAACAATAACATATACCGGCAATAATATCAAAAACTACCGTAAAAAGTATAAATGGAAAGTTTTCTATTTTGAATAAAAACAATTTATGTGTCATAGGCTCAAAAGTTTTTCTGTAACCAAATTGTTTTTTTTTTCAAAACACAAAACATTTTCTTAAAAATATATATGGTATTAAAAACATGAGCTTTTTCTGATAAACATTTTTCTATATTTAAACATTGAAAAACTAAATTGTTATTTATTAACTCTAAGTTTGAATAATTAAAGACAACAGAAACAATAATTGAAAAAAATCAAACTAAAATATACTGACGTGTTAAACTTAAAATGAACCAAACAATAAGCGATAAGTTCTATTGGTATTTTCTGATTGCGCGGGAACTTCAAAATGCTTAAATTATTATTTTCATTGACATAATAACACGTATTAAAGAAAAAGAGGATGTTCAACTCTCTAACATTTAATTTTAAATAATAATTCATTTAATTTTTCTTGCCTTTTCAGAGGGCTACCTCACCTCATGCTCCTTCGACTATCTCTCCGATAACTTCGACACCCGCCTGTTTGTGGGCACCATATTCTTCTTTAGCTTCGTGTGCCCCACGCTGATGATCCTGTACTACTACTCGCAGATTGTTGGACATGTATTTAGCCACGAAAAAGCCCTGAGGGAGCAGGCCAAGAAGATGAACGTGGAGTCGCTGCGTTCGAATGTGGACAAGAGCAAGGAGACGGCAGAGATCCGAATAGCCAAGGCGGCGATCACCATCTGCTTCCTGTTCTTCGTGTCCTGGACTCCCTATGGCGTCATGTCGCTGATCGGTGCGTTTGGGGATAAGAGTCTCTTGACGCCAGGAGCCACAATGATCCCGGCCTGCACCTGCAAACTGGTGGCGTGTATAGACCCATTCGTCTATGCAATTAGTCACCCCAGATACCGAATGGAGCTGCAGAAGCGATGTCCCTGGCTGGGAGTCCACGAAAAGTCCGGGGAAATCTCGTCGGCTCAATCCACGACCACACAGGAACAACAACAGACCACGGCTGCATAGAATCAAGGATAACTCTACTCTCACACAACCGATTTCGTAATACAAAAGACTAGGAAAAACTATAAAAGCGAAGATGAAATAATGATGACAACTTTATATTATAATTTGTAGTGCAATATTCCTGAGTTTATGATAAATAAATAGTAAATTATTGCAAAGGATTTAAAAGTATAGTCAGATTTTTATTTAGGGTTTGGATACTCAGATGTCACCTTACAAAAAAAATTCGACATTTTTTTACTCTTACCTAACTTAATTATTTTCTTTGACTCGAAAGCAAACAAAAATTTTTATTTATTTATTTTCAAATCATTTTAATAACACTCCTTCTCTCGTATAAGAAATTATTAGTGGAACTTTAATCCAGTTTGAAAACTAAATGGAAACAAAATGATAATGTCGACACATTTTGAAAATTGTCAGTTATGTATTTATTCGGTTTTTGCGTAATATCTTTCAGATACCCATTGTGAAATCTATTGGCATTTGTTTAACAAAATATAAGTCTCCCCCAGGAAAGAATCCCCCAGCCAGTGGCCCATTCTCAGTTGCACAACAGCGAGTGCAGACGAATGACCGCACGGTAATCGTTGTGGGACAACAGACCACGCTGCGATCGATGGAGCACCCGGTTGAGGCGCTCCACGGTTTCCGTATTGGAGGTCATCTTGAAGAGATCGTCAAGGTACTTGAGCGATTCGCGTGACCAGAACATGGACGGCTTGTTGGCGTCCTTGTTGATGCTGCCACGATCGTTGGCATCCATCTCGGCGAGCAGGCGGACGCACTCCGGATTGAAGGTCTGGCGCAGCTGAAGATCGGATCGCGATCTTTGCTGGGGATTGTTGAAGGGCATCTGGTTCGATTGCGGACGTCGAAGTTGCTGCTGCTGGTTGTTTTGCTGTTGCACACGTTGTTGTTGTTGATGTTGCTGTTGGTTCTGTTGCAATCGTTGTTGATTTTGTTTCTGTTGCTGCTGCAATCGTTGTTGTTGCTGTTGAATTTGCTGTTGCAATCGTTGCTGTTGCTGCTGATTCTGCTGTTGCTGTTGCATCCGTTGTTGCTGTTGCTGCTGCAATCGTTGATTCTGCTGCTCCTGTTGCTTTGCATTCTGCTGCTGTTGCTGCTGCACTTGTTGCTCTTGGCGTTGCTTTTTCTTAAGCATTTTCGGAGGGGGAGGCGGAGCCATATGCTGCCAAGCAGGAGGAGGCGGAGTTGGCGAGGGAGCTCGTTTACTCGGCGAAGACGGCTGACTCGGCGTTTTCTTTGGCTGCAATCCCAGCAGAACCGGATCAATATGCAGTGAAGGCAGACGATTCTTTTGATCCATGCGGCCATAGCTATTGAGCAGGGAGTCGTAATTCGGATGCGGATATGCGGTGAAGATCATGCGCCAATGGTCCTCGATCTCGTTGCGCATCTGCGGCGTGGCGTTCTCATCCGGCGAGAACTCGTCGACCAGGCGACGCAACAAAATCAGCAGCTGATCCAGGTGGGTTTTGCCATTCAGGAGTCCCGCCTGACCCACCAGGATCATGTTCAGTTGGCGACGCTTCTTTTCGGCCAACTTAAAGCCGTTTTTCGTGTTCATCTCCTCCAGCTCCTTGATGCGCATATAGTGATTCTTGGCATTGCCCAGATTGGTGGTCAGACTATTGATCCCATCTCGCATAAAGCGAATAAGCACATCAATCCGTTTGGGAGGTTTCTGTTTCTGGAACTCGATGCTCTTGCGCTTGACTTCCTGATTGCGACGCAGTAGCTTCACTTGCAGCTCCTCCTGGTGCTGTTTCAGGCCATAGATAACCAGAACATATCCGTAGTCCTTGAAATCCATGCGTACGCTAACTTGGCATTGTTTGGCGGCCTCGGCTAGGAAATTTCTTCCCTCGGGACTGAACAGGTACTCAGATTGTTCGCGAGACATGATGATCTTGCCCTCGCTTGGCACATCAGGCAGCTCATCACTTGAATCCGGATGGGGATCCTGGGTAGTCTTACGACTGCTGCTGCTGCTGGAGTTCACGCACATGGAAATTCCCTGAACGTTTGTGGAGAGTTCGAAATCGTCATCCATACTCAGGGGTATTACATCTGGCAGGGAGGCCATGGGACGACTGATCGCACGATTGAGTGGCTGACTCTCCTGCTCGTCACTTGTTGTCGAACTGGGCACCTCAAAGTGCTCGGAGAAGCTGTAATTCGAATCGGAGTCCAGCTCATGAGGTGCCAGTGGTGGCCTGGTTGTGGGCATCTCCTGTTGGGGAGCCTGGTAATTGGTGGTAATCTCTTCACGCTGAATGGAAAACGATCGCTCCTCCTCAGGCTCATCCGTTGGCTGTACCTCTACTGGTGGGTCATCCGCAGGTTGTTCTTGTACAGGTTGCTGTTCCTTAGATAGGTCTTCTCCTGGTTGTTCCTCTAAAGTTTCCTCCTTAGTTTGCTGCTCTTCAGGTTTTTGCTCTTTAGGTTGCTGTTTTTCCGTTTGATTCTCTTCAGGTTTCTGCTTTTCTGGTTGCTTCTCTGCAGGTTTCTCTCCAATAATTACCTCCACAACAGGTGATTGCTTTGGCTTTGAAATCGATTTCTTAGCCTCGCCTTGAGCTGCTCGCACCTGAGCATTGGGCACATAGTCGTGGGTATAAACCTTTGCTGGAATCTCCGGCAGAGCAGTGGTTGATTTTCTTTTAATTGACTGCGTCTTGGCCAAGTTGACCTGGATCAGGAACTTGGCATAGTAGCTGTTCTTAGGCATACTCGCACTCTTCCACTTGAAGTGAAAGGGAATCGAAAAGAAGCTGTTCAGATCGCCAAGAAAGCCCAAGGGACCACCGCGATTCCTGTAGACCTTCTGGTGCGATATAATTTGGCTCGTGTAGTTGGTGCTGCGGAAATCCCCGATGCGCTGGCGGCAGTTCTCGAAGAGATGGCGTCCGGCGCAGTAGCTGCACTGTACATTCCTGTAATGCACCCTGCTATCCAGCTCCACGTTAGATCGAGTCTGTTAAAGATTAAAGAGAAAATTAGAATGCTTGCTTTACGGAGTATATTTATGTGTTACCGTAGAGTGGTATCGACGCCACTTGTCCGGGCAGTGATCCGTGCCATGGCCCCTCATCTTGCACAGCTGACAGACCAGACGACTGTGGAAGGAACACTTGTTGCACTGCTGCACGTAAATCGCCTGCTTTGAGCCGCACTAAAAAAAAAAAGAAAAATAATTGTTAATAAGGAAATGAAAATATATTTATAAAATTTCACTTGCTATGTTTAACAAGGAGTCTAGCTGATGAGAAATAAGCAGAGTACATTCCCAAAGGAAAGATTATTCCAAAGGAATGTGGGAAACATCATATCTAAATAATCTTAAAAAAATATCAATTATCCTCAAATACAAAAAATAAAAAACATATCTAGCGAACTTAGGGTACATATATTATAACTATGATTATTTCCAATGTAATATAAGCAGGACCTACCCCAAAACAAATCGCATTTGGACAGCGAGGTTCGGCGTGACCCACAGTGCCGCACAGAAAGCAGACGAGTGGCTTTCGGGGACGCGGGCACTTGGATCGCACATGTCCCATCTCGAAGCAATTGGTGCACTTGGCATGGGAACGGGGTCGTGCCACCGGATACCTATCCGCTGTGTTGAGCCTCCACTCCTGGCGATGAGCTACAAAAACAAGAGGTTACCAAATGAATTAATGGACTCCTTACTACACTTACCACTCATGCTTCTCTGGAGTTTGTGGAGGGAGAAGTGTTCGCCGTTCCAGCTGTCATTGTAAAAGCGACACATCTCCTCGTTCCATCCGACGAGTGACCCGCCACTTGGCAGACTCTCATCTGTGAGTTCTGGCAAGTTGAGCTCCACTTGGATGCCTGGCTCCTCCTTTACTACCTCCACTTCATTTTCCTCTGGATCTGCTCCCTGAAGCTCAGCGGAGACATCCACATCCTCCTCGGATTGCACTGTGGTGTCTGCTGTCTTGTCTCGAGAATCTTCTTCGTCCGATTGATATCCACTGGCATCCAATTGTTCCTGCTCCTCTTGTGATTTTCGAACCTGGGCATCCATTCGCTCGAAGACCGCCGCCAAACGATCCGTCATGGCATCGCGGAATTCTGCTTCACCCTTGGAACCCACGTCGGAACCTATGGAAACATTATCCATATCGTCGTCAGGGGTTTCCTGTACCTGATCCACTCCCTTTTCTTGTTCCTGGTTGAGTAATCTCTCGGCGATCTCCCGGGCACTTGGCAATTCAGCCTCGGTAGCGGATTCAGAACTAGTTTCCTGACTCGCCGATTGTTTTGCTTTGTGGATGCGAGCCACTTTCTTCGGGTTCTCATCGGAGTTTCTTCTGACGCTGATCCTTCGGATCTTCCGCTTGCAACGCTCAACGGCCATGCCACGGGATATGCCAGGAACTCCAGTGGAGTGGACCCCATCATCACTGTCCGAATCATTCAGCCCGTCCTCGTTGTTCGCGTCCGACTGGCTGTGATTGTTGGTGGAGCAGGAGCGCTTGCGCAGACGCTTGGTCTTCTGCACACTGGGTTCCACTACCTCCTCCAGGGAAGAGCTGTCCGAGAGCGAGTCCACGCTCCGGATAATCGTGGGTGCGTTCTTGGGCTTGGCCTTCGAGTAAATGCCACTCTCGGTGAGATCGGACTCGCTCTCATAAACGTCCAGAGCCCTGAACTGCTGATCTCCAACCCGATAGTTCTGTTTTATTTCCTCCAAACGCGAAGGTGGAACAAATTCATGTTCCGAAGAGGATTCAATCACGATATCGGTTTCTTTATCTTGAACTGCTCCCTCCACAGCCTCCATGTTTGGTGGATTCTGACCAAAGGATTCCCTGATGGCATTCTCTGTCAGCACCAGGAGATCCTCGTCATTCGCATTCTCACGTTCTGCCAAAAAGCGACTGGTGTCCTTTTGCACAATGAAGTCATCGCTGGACATCACGGAACAGCAGGGCGAATGCATGGATGGTGGAGTATTTCCACTTACCACGCCCATCTCCTCCGGTTCCGTAACACAAGACAAGCCCATGTTTATGTCGGTGGCATCCATGGCGTTCTCCTCGTGAAACAGTTCAGGTGGACTACACGACTGCTCTCCATCGCTGGTGTCCAGATCGATGATGGGAGCTGGTGGCAGTGGTACAAGCACAACATCATCATCGCCATTCGAGCTTTCACTATTCTCCGACAGATCCAAAATCTCTACAGGTTTAGATTGCAGCTTGCGCTGTTGTTTGGTCAACTGCGCCTCGCCCTCATCATCCGACAGCTCCAAAAACACCACAGGTTTAGATTGTAGTTTGCGCTGGTTTTTGTTCAACTGCGCCTGCTTCGATTTCTGTTTTTTGCTAGCCAAGCGCTGCAACTGCTCCAGTTTGCGATTGGCCTTTCCGAAGGGTCCAGCTCCAGGTCCCGATTGCTGCTGCTGTTTGTTCTGTTGCTGCTGTTTCTTCTGCTGCTGCTGCTTGTTTTGCTGCTGCTGCTGCTGCTTGTTTTGCTGCGGTTTGTTCTGCTTCTTGGGTGGGCAATTCGGTGGGATCGCCACCAGAAGCCTCTGGTCGAAACGCTCCTCCTCGTACGCTTCATGGTTTACTTTGGTGGGTGTGTTGGCCTGCGGGTTTGCTTTTTGTACTACTGGCGACTTTGGCAGTGGCTTCTTTTGCTGGCTTTGCTGCTGCTTCGACTGCTGGTTTTGCTGCTGCTTTGGCTTCTGATTTTGCTGCTGTTTCTGTTGCTGATTTTGTTGCTGTTGTTTTGGTTGCTGTTTTTGCTGGTGTTTCGCCTGCTGATTTTGTGGCTGCTTCATCTGCTGAGTTTGTTGTGATTTAGGTTGCTCATTTTGCTGCTGTTTGGATGGTTGATTTGCTGATTTCGGTTGGTTGGGAGTTGTTTTTTTAGGCGACTGCAATTGACTTTTCTGCTTGGGCTTTTCGGCTTCTTTGGTTGCTGGTGGAGGTGGCACTTCTGCATCTAAAATAAATTAATACAAAATTAATAATAACTTAAAAAATTCAATTTAATTTTGTGCTTAATAATGCTTTATAAATTTTTAATATTCAACACAATGTGTGGTAGCAATTGGCTATTGAAACATTCAGTCAATAATTTGTATACTCACTTAAAATAATTAAGAAGTGTTTAAAAATTCCTGTCAATCAGCAATAGGTATATTTTTTGTTTATTACTATTATTTTATTATATTATTGGTAAACAAACAGACCCAGCCCTTTCAAAATAACTCATTAAACTTATCTCTCTGAACCTCAAGCCCCCATTGATAAGACAGCTTTTCAACTTTGGGACATATTTTAATACCAAGGTGGGTTCAGCAAGTGACTCAGACTGGCGTTGAGCATGTCTTGACCCTTCACATCGTTTAGCTTGTAGCCTTCGAGTGCCAGATCCGACAACTGAGACTCGCTGATGTGGAAGAGGACAAACGGGTCCGCCAGAAGGTCGGATCGATTGGGCCACAGGAGGATTCGGACTGCGGTGCGGAACTCGTCGATTGCCTCCCTAATCAGCCGCTGGGCCTCGCAAAGGTTTTCGAGGGACGTCATGACCCTGGAACCCGTCTCCGACTGCTGGGCCTGCACCTTGAGAGCCTGCTCCAGTTGCCTGACCAACCGCATGAACACAAACCTGCGGTAACGCTCCTCGAAATACTGTCGCGGCCAATCACAGCGACTCATTTTCCGTTGGACCAAGGCGGAGATTATGGCATCCACGCACGAGCCCAGCACACTCATGGTGGTGATAAGCACGATCCCGGATAGCAGGTACTCCACGCGTCGCTGGTCCAGCTCCTCGCACCAGAAGAACAGGTCACGGCCATGTCGCAACAGTTGGTAGTGGAGCATGCACACAATGCAGACCAGGTCGAGAGCAGCCAGCGCCAAGGTGCAGTGATTTAAGTGGCCCAGCCGCCTTTGGAGCACGTGCATGCCGCACCTGCCCAGAGTCAGGAAGCGACTGAGGAAGCAGGTCATCATTCGAATGTTATGGAGAATTTTGAAAGCAAGCTCACGAAACAATTTTTAAAGGCATGAAATAAACCAAATGCCCAACGCCATGCTGATTACACTACAGGGAGTTCGATTTACAGAGAATATGTTTCTGTGAGAACTTTTCTACGAACCAACAATGATTCTCAAGTCATTGACTTTCTATCTGTTATATATATATAAATATCCCAAGCACAATTTGTAGTTTCCAATACCGTTTTAGTATAGGCACTACATATATTCGTTCACTGCAGATTGCCACTCACCTGGAATTGTTTTGTTTGTGGTCGCCTGTTGTTCCTCCGTCTGCACCACCTGTCCCTGCCCCTCGGCTCCCTCCGCCCAGTAGCGTGATTTCTGCTTCTGACCCGCATTGTTGTTGTTGATTACCCTCGTTCCGCTGACAAAACGCTGGCCAGGATTTGGGAGCTCCTTGGGCTGCTGTACAGGGGGTGGCATGCTCCTGACATCGTGGTCGCTGAGTGACACAATCGCTGGCTGATCCACGGCACCTTGCTCGTCAGTTCCATCGCTGTAGTGGATCGAGGCATACAGAATCGATTCCAGCTCGTTGAGCCTTTCGCTGTCCATCTCCTCAAGCTGTAAATCAGGGGCTATGACATCGGGTCAAACTGAATTGTATTGCCAACACTCACATCACTCATATTGCGCGTCTTTGTTTTCCTTTGCCTTTGATTTCGTTTTCTTCAGCATTGATAAAAACTAATATAAAGAAAAGAAAAAGAGAGCACGTTGATCTAGCGATGAGCAAACAAGAAAGAGAATGGTTATCGAAACAGTGATGGTCGTTTAGCTATCGAAACGAGTGACTATCGAATGGTGAAAACTAATTGAGCGAAAATTTCTTAATAGATAGGTTAAACAACTTAGTTTTTATTATTCACAATTCAATCCGTATCAATCTTATAGATTACACCTTTTTGATTAACATTATCAGCTACGATACATACAAAAAAAATGTAGTTATCCGGTGGCTGTAGTATTATCAACTCATTTTTCGTCGTGTTAAGTTTAACCTTCTTAATATTTTTTTTAAGAGATTTTAGGTAAGTGCTAAGGATTCTTTCCAGATTTCATCATCCTAAAATATGCTTTTTTGAATTTTCCCTCGCAATAAGCCTATTGTAGTTTCGATGTTTGTGTGCATCATATCGATAGAAGGGGTGCCCGGCCATAACGATAACAAGAATAGCATCCCTAGCTGCCGGGCCACGTACAATTTGCGACCGAAAATAACAAAAGAAGGAAATTAAGCTAAAATACAATGTAAGTGGGGCGGAAGAGTGGTAAATTAACAGACAAACTTACGATCCACTAATGTTTCAGTATGGACGTGATGCAGCGCTACGTTTCTCCCGTGAACCCGGCAGTTTTCCCCCACCTCGCCACCGTTCTCTTGGTCATTGGAACATTCTTTACGGCCTGGTTTTTCATATTTGTGGTGTCCAGGAAAAGTTCTAAGGAGAGTACTTTGATTAAGGAGCTCTTAATCAGCCTATGTGCCTCCGTCTTTCTGGGATTCGGCATTGTTTTCCTGCTACTAACCGTCGGTATTTACGTATGAGATTTAAGGCAAAAACCATTCCGTGTAGAAATAAACTGAAGATCTGTTCGTGGGCGTAAACGTACAAGAGGCCTTTTTATTATTAAGGTTAATGTAATTCCAATTTCAAAGATTCAATTTGCGCTTAAAAACAATATCGAATATATATTACGCTAACATATAAATCGTCTACACGAGCACGCACTCTGCCGTCGAATAAGAAATCATTGCAACATTTAAAACCCTCGCTTTTCTATCCGGCCAGACCGGCCTTTTGTCTGCACTTCTGCATGGTGGCCCTAAGGATAAACTGTTTCCGGGACAGCTGGCGAACGTGCTTGAGAAAAGTATCTAGATCGATGACTCCGCTGCGAAGCCCTTCGCCCAGATAGTAGATGGCATCCTCGGTGGCCGCCTCGTCGGCGTAGGCATTGAGTAATCTGCGGGTGATAAAGGCGTTACCGGGTTGCACAAAAGAGAAAACTCAACATTTCTGAAACTTACTGTCGGTACAGCGGTGCTGTGGTGGTCACAGCCTCGTCGGGATCAATGGCCTCAGCGCTCTCCAGTGTTTCCAGGCTCTTTTCCAGCTCCTGCTCCTTGTCCTTCAGAACACTGATGTTCTTCTGCAGATCAACCTGTTCGCGCTCGAGTCGCGAGATAATGGCATCGATCTTCGTACTGCCCTCGACCAACTCCTGTTTGGTTCGATTGAGAGTTTCGATCTCGGCCTGATACTGATTAACCTTCTCTTGAATACGACGACGTAGCTTGTCCTCCACGGCGCTGATGAGTGATGCTTTGATGTGTTCCTCGGTTATGGTGCCCGTGGAGCTAGGATTAGAGGGGTTCTAAAAAAAACAAAACAATATAACATAGTGTTTTCAGATAAAGATGTTAGGCTTACATATCCCCCAGCTGGTGGGTAACCACCGCCCGCTGGTTGTGGGAAATTCATGTAGGGCGGATAGCCGGATGGGCCAGCCGGACCAGCACCTCCCGGCGGATATGGTCCGAAGTTTGAGCCCGTGGGATACGGCGGAAAGTTGCTGCCACCAGCTCCGCCAGCTGTCGGATAAGGTAAAAACGAGTTGCTGCCACCGGGTCCACCTGGCTGAGGCATATAGGCTGAAAACAAAGAAAAGATGCGATAATAATCCAATGAAGGATAAAACTATACAAACTTAACCGATTTTAAAATTTTAGTTTTGTGATTTTCCAAGGATATAAATCACTTAAATAAAGTCAAATTCTTTGTGACTGTGGGACTCTGTACTTACAGTTTGTGGGATATGGCGCTTGAATTTGTTCCTTGGGCTTTGAGTAAACCGGCGGATGATCGCCGAAGGTGAGGATCATAACCTGGATGAGGGAGAGAAGATCGGAGGAGTGCGGCTGCCAGTCATGCAGGTAGGGCAGATAGACCTTTCCATTTTGATCCACGAACATGGAGACCTTTATTTGCATGGTGGGTGTGGGTTTGACAAAACACATAGGTGCATTTTGCGGATGAGTGTCCATCAGCCATATACAAATGGGAATGTAGTAGGTGTTATCTGATGACAAAGAGATTACATATTCATTATCATTCCGTATCAAGAGGTCTTCGTAATATAACTAATTACTTTTGTAGACTACGGGAATGGTGCCCTGAATGGTGAACAATTCCTTGGAGCTTCCATCGTTGAATACTGAAATTGCGAATGTATTTTAAATGTTATGTACCCAAAATTTGATGCTGTTATCAGCTGACTCTTACCGAATCTTTGCAAGTCGTAGGTCAAGCTGCGATACGATGTGACCACATCCATAACGTCCTTCTTAGTTGCACCCACATACTTATACTAAAATTAAATAATTTCGTTAATTGCGTTGCATGTGAAAGAAAGGAAAGGAAAAAATAACCGAAACCCCATAGAATGGGAGTATGACTCATAGACAGGCCTTACCTTTGATAGATACTTTGTTATTTGTGTCTCTTCGACCGCGGGCATTATGCTTGGCAAACCAAATCGGCTCGAAACGAATTCTTCCCAAAATTGAACTCAGATTTGGTAATTTTTCGTGTAAGTTCACAGCAAATTTGTTGAATGAAAACAAAGTGATAGTATCGAAACGTATGTTTAGTGTGCCCCGTGGTTTTTAACTAAAATATACCATATCGTATGCAAAAAGAGGAGACTTAAACTTGCCGTTCGTTGGTCACTCCAGAAAAATTTGCTTGGCGGGAAAAATGTCCTTTTTATAGTTTTCCAGTTCTCCAAAATATTTTTTATTTAAAATTCACTTACCATAACCATTTCTTAAAAAGTTGGCCAATCATTCACTATTTGTTATTCATATTTTAAACGACGAGTGATGCCAGACTTCATGCGTGTTATCGACAAAAAACCGTTACGTTTCAATTTTAATGTTGGGATTAAATTTTTACTGAGCGATTCAAAAAGTAATAAACTTTAATACATTAAAATAAAAAAAATCAACTTTTTGCTTATATTTTTAAAGTTCTTTGGTTTGCTAAAATAAGGGTATGAAGTATGTACGGTTCTGTAAATTTTAAATAATTTCAAGTATCTGAAAACCGATCAAGTGCTTTAGTTACCATCTAGCACTCGCTTAATTATTTGTTTTTTTTTAAACAAATGGTACTTTTCGGGACATACAAATATTTATTTTAAAGTAAAAAATTCAATGACTTTAAATGTTCATAACAATTACGGCTTTTAAGCTCAACATTCCTTGTTTAATTCCAGTTTTCCTGCTGATTTTAATTAACCCAATCTCGAGACAGATCTAAACCCTCGGGCTATATCTGCTACAATTAAGCCAAAAACGTGGCAATTACCAATCGGCTTATCTCTGCAGAATAAATCCATGTACCGACCCATTGCTCTGTTCGTTAAACCTAATTGTGCCCACAAATTGGCGCGAGTCGTTAAACTTTTTCGAGGCACTTTGTCGCGAATTTCAATTTCGTTGCGGATTCCGCTTTGACAGTAATTACTTCCAATGTCTCAAGTTCGCGCACATAAAATTTCGATTCCAAGGAAGGTCAGCTCTAATGCCTTTTGTTACTGTTTGCTTTGCTGATTGATTTCTGGCCGAAGCGCAATCAATAAACAAGTACAGTAGCCAAAAGTTTCCCTATCATTAAGGGTAGATCAGCATTTTCATTGCTGTGATATTGGGTTAATTGTTGCTTTATAAAATTTGAAACCTCAGTTTTTTCTAGTGTCACAAAGTATAATGTGTTCTAAATATAGTTAATTCCAATGTGGAAAATATATTTAAACAATAATAGTTCTATTGTTTCAATGGGAAGTTAGGATAGATAAAGTATATTTCATGATATAATAAAATTTATTCAACCACATTAATTTAAATATATAAATAGACTGGGCATTGCTGCCTCGGTTGGTTGGACATTTTGGTGGAATGGCAAGTGCTTTTGGGCAATTGGCTTCTTGTGCGTTTTTGCCTTCGGCCGAATACGAATTGTTGGCCATGTGTACTTGAACTCGCTTGAAGAGCTCGCCTGAAGTTCAAATCAGTAGTGAATTCACATAAATCACTTTGGGCACACTCTGGCAGGCTGGTTGGCTGGCTGCCTGCCGATTACTCATACGCCTCGTGGTCGCTTTTAATTAGCCAACGCGATTCTTATCACTTTTGGCCACCGCTGCTACTGCTGGGGAACTTTGACTGGAAACAGCAACCTGACGCTATTTTAGCTCCGGCAATGCACTGGAAAAACAAGTGACATTCTTTAATAAAATTATGAAATAATATTACTTTTATAAACCTTTTAAGAAGGTAGGTTTTAAATCTCTTATTAGTAGAAGAGCTGCCTACTAAAGATCAAAGAATTTTATAGCCTAAGAAATATCCAAATATTTTTCTGTGTGACTGTGTAATTGCCTGCTTTTGTAAACTTGATTTTCTCAACCGCGTTGACCTCCGGCCAGCTGTGTGCTTCTTCTGCTGCCAGCGCGATAATGACAATGATAATCATCGTAATAATCGCGTTCCTCGGCTCTTTGTGTGCGACGTCGTCTATTCTCTCTTTTGGCTGTGAAATCTTCTAGCCATGTCCCAAGGCCACACAAATTACAAAGAAGCTCTGGGGCAGCGGCAATTGAGTTCATTATCATAATAACCCATTGACCAACTAACTGTTGTAAGCTTTGATTTTTTCTTTTTCGTAGCCGTGGCCAATGCTTCGCTGCGATTTGCCTGTGGCTTACCTCGTATCAGAATCGAAAGTAGAATGATATATGTCTGTATGACGGGACTGGACCACCCACACACACTGCGAATTCCGGCGATCGGATCTCGTTCAGAAGTCATCAATTTTGTCAACTGAATCTCACACTGCGATTAATCACTTCACGCCTGCCAATGACTTTTAATGAGCCGCCTTGTGAGCAATGAGTTTAATTAAAGCAGTTTCCAGCGCTTTGAGGCCGAGTACTTGACCCAAACCGATGATCCGGCCCGAAGTTCTAGCCTGCGGAATCCGTTTCGGCCATAATGGACTTGGCCAGAAGCGGAAGTGGGCAGGCAAAGCTCGGCTAATTGGCTGCCATTATGTCTTTACATTTTATAAATGGCAAATCTTCACTCTGAATCGAGACTTATTTTCGGAGTACTTATAGCGCTGGGTTCTAAAAATAAAGCCTAATGAGCATAGCCAAACAAACAATAATTGACTAAAAATAAACTCCAATGAAAAAACCAATGAAATTAATCTGTCAGTGATTTTCAAGCGACCACAATAGATATTTTATAGAGAAAGGCACAAAATTCCCCTCAGAATTCCCTAGAAGAGTATCCATCATAATCATTATTCATGTAGACCATTTATCCGGCCCAGTGACCTCTTCCTAAAAAGGCGAAAAGCCAAAGTGCCAAGTGAAACTCCACTGTAATGCTATTTAATGTTGTTTATTATGCCATAAAAACAATAAACCACTTGAACAAAAGCCCGCGCAAAAATCAATAATACACCTGATGCTGCCATGACATGCTATATATATCCCATAGATAGCCTTATGAATAGGTTTTTGGTACCAGCCCCCACTGACCATATCATTAACAACAAAGAACACATTTCTGCCAGCATCACTTTGCAGCTATTAATGAACAATACAGAAAACATTGGAAAAACAGAACCAATCCCAGAACAAATAAATACGTGGAACTACATAAAGCATGAAATAATATTCAATAAGATGTTTGAACTTTGAGCTTGAGAAGATTTGCGGTTAGATCTTAAAAAAATTATTCAACTACGTCAAAGAGGTTTATGAATTTATGCCTAATATAAATAAAACTTAGTAAACAATTTTCTGGTTCTAACAATAAAAAAATTGCCAAAGATTATATATATTATATATAAAAGATTATTTACTGTAAATATAGTACTATAAATACAATTAAAAGAAAATAAATGAAATATATGTATGATCATATAAGGTAATAATAGTATTTTATTACTTGTGAAAAATTGAGTTAAAAAAATTCAGTTAAATTAGAGGATTTAAGAGGGTTTTAATTTTCTCCTCAGGGGATTTCGAATAGCTTAATAACATACTTCACTATTCCTCTGAACTTCCATCTACAACTATTTTCAGCCACATCGTAAAACTAAAATATGATATAAGCCCTCTGTTGTTTGGGCGTATCTGGGGGTCACTTCCGGGTCAAGCCCCGTACTCACCTGGGGCACCTCCTCCTCCTCCCTCCTCCCTCCTCCCTCCTCCTCCTTCTTTCCGAGCGTTTTACATTCGTGAACTCTGCCACTCGACGACAGAAACCATTAATTAGTAAATTGCTTCGTTTTTGTGACAAAATACCCGAATTTGTTCGTGTGCTCGCGAATGATTGATGGCTGTTTGATTTGTGCGAACTTTGAATTAGCCATCATTTGTTGGCCTGTCAGCGGAGAATCGATGAATTGAACAGGGACTTGGGATTCGGGCGACGTGTTCCTCCTCCGGGCGAAAAACTCCATGGATTAACTCCGTTAGCTCCGGTTCCGCATTGCTGTCGAAAAAAAACTTATCAATCAATATATTCATTTTGAAAAAATGCTTCCCAGGTTTTCTTTTATTTAAAATTTACTGACTGAAAGAAGAGCACTTCCCTAAAAAAAAAATGATAGAGTTGACAGCTTAGAATGTGAAATAGGCGGAGGAAAAACCTTCGGTCTGTTTTGTTTTCGTTTTCGTTTTCTAGAACCCCAAAAACCCATTTCAAGTGAACGATCATTTTTTTTTTTGAGCATAATGACGACGACAGACACAATTACCCATATTTTTGAATAGAGCTTCAATGTCAGCGTTACAGGAAGCACTTCGCTTTATTTTGTTTAGTCTAGAGAACTCGATTTCGACCCCTGGCCATCTTATCACGTCTGAAAATTATTGTACTTATCAATGACGATGGGTATATAATTTATTGTCATCTTTCTATGCTCATAGCTACTGTATCTACTTTGGGTTTCTCTTTAGCTTGCTGTTAGGTGTCGCATAAAAGTTCAATTAATTATTTTATATTTCGTTTTGTTTCTGCTCCGCTATCGTTAAATCGAAATTTATGAATGATCATTGCCTGTCTTGGGGTTTTCAGTTTCCAGTTTTAGATTTCATTTCAAATGCTGGGCACGTAATCACCTAGGCCAAAGCACTCACGATCGAATTGGTTTATATAATTCTATGAACACTTTGCATCGTTATCTTTGCAGCTAAGTGTATTTATTATTTTTGCTTTACGGGTAATTAATGAAATTGCGAATTATCAATAATCTCAGCTCAGCTCCTTTCAAGTGGCAAATTAGAACAGAAGTTGATTAATGCTGATTGAATAAGTTTGGGATTTGAGTGCGGTCTGTGAGTCACGATGACAAAAAATTAGTCACTCCTGAAGTGGGTTGTATAAACCAATTCTAACAACGGAAGACCTTTTGGGGGAATTCTGTAGAAAGAGTCATCATTTTTGAGAATTTGGTGTCTGACTTAAGGAATGCCAAATGTAGCAATATTTACTTAATCATTAAAAAAACTCCAACATTTGTAAAAGATGTTCAATACCTTTAAAGTTATTAAAAAAATTTTTATGAGCCCAAATT